AGGAAACAATCAACAGAACAAAAAGGCGACCTACTAAATGAGAGAAGATATTTGCAAATGATTTACCCAATAAAGGGTTAGTATCCAGAATATATAAAGTATTTATAAAACTCAACACCCAAAAAACAAATAGCCCAATTAAAAAATGGGCAGAAGGCATGAACAGACATTTCTCCAGAGAAGAGATACAAATGGCCGACACATAAAATGATGTTCAACATCACTCATCATCAGGGAAATGCAAATGAAAACTACAATGAGAGATCACCCTTCACTTGTCAGAAAGGCTAAAATCAACAATACAAGAAACAAGTGTTGGCAAGGGTGTGGAGAAAAAGGAACCCTCTTGTACTGTTGGTGGGAATGCACTCTGGTGCAGCCACTGTGGAAAACAATATGGAGGTTCCTCAAAATGTTAAAAAAAGAACTACCCTACAGTCCAGTAATCATACTACTGGATATTTGCACACACGAAATAAAAACACTAATTCAAAATTATTCTTGAACCCCCAAGTTTATGCAGCATTATTTACAACAGCCAAACTATGGAAGCAGCCTAATTGTCCCCCGATAGATGAATGGATAAAGAAGATGTGGTATATATGCACAATGGAATATAATTCATTTGTAAAAGATAATAAAAATTGTGCCACTTGTGATATGGATGGATCTAGAGAGTATAATGCTAAGTGAAATAAGTCAGTCAGAGGAAGACAAATACCATATGATTTCACTCATACGTGGAATTTAAGAAACAAAATAAACAAGCAAAGGAAAAAGAGAAAGAGAGAAACCAAGAAACAGACTCTTAACTATAGAGAACAAACTGATAGTTATCAGAGGGAAGGTAGGTGGGAGGATGGGGGAAATAGTGATGGGGATTAAAGAGTATACTTACGATTAAAAAATAAAATGATTTAAAAAATAAATAGATAACAACAACAAAAAGAATCAGAAGATGTAAAAACAAAAAAGGAAAAAAGAAAAGAAGAAAGAGGGGGGAAGATGGAAGCTGTACCCAGTAACTAAAAATACAAACCATCACAGGGTGCCTGCATGGCTCAATCAATTAAGTGTCCAATTCTTGATTTTGGCTCAGGTCATGATGTCACATGATCCAATGAGATCCAGTTCTGTGTCAGGCTCCACGCTGAGCATGGAGCCTCCTTGGGATTTGCCTCTCCCTCTTCCTCTGCCTCTACCCTGCTCATGCTTGTGTACTCTCTCTCTCAACATAAATAAATAAACATTAAACATTAAAAAAATACAAACCATCACAAGATGTGTCAAATAAGATCTCCTTTTTTAAATGAAATGTTTTTAAGAACCATCTTTGTAGAGGTTAGGGATCGATGCTAGGCTTTAAAGATTAGACATAATTCCAATCAGAAATCTTAAAAGAAAGTCTTTTTAAGAGGAGAAAGCATATGAAGGTATAGAAACAGGTACGATCGTCTATTCAACTATCCATCATTCATTAATCAGATTTCCACTAGGAATCTCTAAAGAAAGTCCCTGTCCTCAAGGTCTTGTAGAGAGATGCACACCATGATTGCCGTGGAGATCCTTCTGCCACTCCATAGATTGATTTCCTGGGTGTTCAAGTGACCTAACCTCAATACAGCTGTGTTTGAGGTTACAGCTTACTACTCTGTCATCTTAACTCCTCTCAATTGTATTTTAGTATAACAAATGTGCTACAATAAAATTCTCAACTGCCACTGATTGCCACTTAACCAGCTTCCGCTAACCGACTCACAGGATTAAGCAGTAATTTCCATCCTTTCTAAATCCCACAGTATGGTGACAATTCAAGGATAAGAGGGTACTTTAAAAAATACTAGCATAGGGAATATAGTCAATGATACTGTTAGTAACATTATATGGTGACAGATGGTGACTACACTTATTCTAGTGAGCACTGAGTAATGTATAGAATTGACGAATCACTGTGTTGTACACCAGACACTACTATAACACTGTATGTCAACTATACTTCAATAATAAAAATTAAAAAAAAAAAACTGATGTACTTCTATTCTCCCCAGCTGTGTTGTATGCTTACAAAAAGTCGGTTAATTTTGTTCCTAAATGTTTTATACCAGCTGTATTTGTTATTGAAATTATACACATGAAATAAAACAATGAAACATGAACAAGGATGAGAGTTGTTTCTATGAAAAATAAGTGGAAAGTATTGGTAAGATTCTGTAGAGACTAATCATTAAAAGCTTCTGCTACAGCATGTGTAGATGGGGCAAATATAAAAGTTTGGTGGTGGCAAGGGGGAGCATACAAACTAAAACTAGATTGATTCTTGCACTCAAGTTCATGCTCAACTTTAAAGAAACTGAAACTAATATGTAATATGGTTATGGTCTGATGTAAGAAAGATTATCAGGAGTTTCAACCTCATACTCAGAGGCTTTGGCCCTATGTAAAAAGGTAGATGAATGAAATGTAAGTTTATATGTTTTAAGTTTGCTGAAGGGATGCTCGCTTCAGCAGCGTATATGTTGTTTGCTAAAGTGTTCCTTAAGTAAATAATTTATTTAAAGTTCTCCTTTTTTTAAGTGTTATTTGTTTAAGTGAACTCTACACCCCATGTGGGGCTTGAACTCACGACCCTGAGATCAAGAGTCACATGCTCTTCCAACTGAGCCACCTGGGCGCCCCTAGTTCTCCATTTTAATGGATTTTCTGATAAACCTGTAAACTAGGTAAAAGGGATCCTACTATCTGAGAACTCAGGAAAGCCTTCGCAAAGGAGGAGGTCCTTAAGTCGAGACTTGAAGGGTAAGTTTGCCAAAAGAAAAAAGTAGGGAAGATCATTTCATCAAAAGGAGGCATGGCACTGAGGTATGTTTAGGAGAATCACAAAGAAAGCACATACTTCATTTGGGGTATTTGTTGTATTTGGTAATAGGGAGTCTGGTTGAAGCTAGATTTTGAGGGGCCTTAAGTGCAAGGCAGGGGGATTTGAACTTCATTATCATGAGTAATGGGAAGATACTGAAGGATTTTCATCATGAGAACAATGCAGTGTGTGCTATGAAAATAATGTTTTAGGAAAGATTAATTTGTCTCTCCTTTTAAAGGTGGAAGGAATAGAGGGAAGACCAAGGGCAGAGTTGCCTATTAGGAAACTACTGGCAAAGATTAGAGGGAATGTTCTAAGTGGTGGCAGGCAATAGGAACAGGGAGGGAAAGGAAGAATCACTACAAATGGTAAATGATTAGATACAGGGATAATGAAAAAGGGAGTGGTTGGATATAATTTCAAAGCTTTGAACCTGGTCAGTGGAGAGTGACAGCATTGTTGGTATAAATAAGACAAGGAGAGAGTTAGTTATGGACAAAATATTAAAGGCTGGTTTTAGACATATTGTAGAAGGAGATAAAACCGGTTAATCACATAGGAATGGCAGCTGCGGGTGTCAGAGCAGAGAGCAGGAGGTGGGCTGGCTGAGGACGTACACTTTGGAGAAAGCCAAGTGGAATAAATGATACTCCTTAAGTCTATTGACCAAGTCCTTGGGCATCAAAGAGAGTAATGATGTAAGCCAGCCCTCTGCCTTACAAAGTCATTGCCAACCTAAGCCAAATCTGTCTTCTAAACTGCTTACACAACTCATGCTTTTTAATCTTATCCCACCTCTTAAACGATGCAGTACATAAACATTTATCTTTATTTCCTGTGTGCACATAATAGCATAAAAAATATGGTTTATTAGATCTACATGCTACACAGTGATTTTTCTAGCCAATTATACTCCATTTCTAAGATTTTAACAATGAGAGTAATTGATCATGTGTGGAGAAAAACAAGATTATTAAGCCTTAATCTTGTGGTATTCTCATGTTTAGAGGGAAGAGGAAGAATTAAAAGAAAACAAAGACAGGACAATCAGAAAAATAGGAGAATAACATTAGTGTAATATTATGGATGCCAAAGGGGAGTTCGAAAAGGAAAGAGCAGTCAATAGTAACAAATACTTCAGAGAATAATGGTAAATCTTATTTTAAAATTTTCTATGAAATAACATGGTATTTATCTTTCTCTGACTGACTTATTTCATGCAGCATAATACTCTCTAGCTCCATCCACCTCATTGCAAATGGCAAGATTATGTTCTTTTTTATGGCTGTATAATAGGAGCTAGAGAGTATTATGCTGCATGAAATAAGTCAGTCACAGAAAGACATACCACATGATTTCACTCTAATATGGAATTTATGAAACAAAACAAATTAACATAGAGGGGGGAAAAAAGAGAGGCAAACCAAGAAACAGACTCTTAACTATAAAGAAGGTACTGATGGTTACCAGACGGGAGGTAGGGAGGGGGATGGGTAAAGTCAGTGATGGAGATTAAGGAGTGCACTTGTGATGAGCACGGGGACCTGTAACGGAAGTGCTGAATCACTCTTTTGTACACCTGAAACTAATACGTATGGCACATGGAATTTAAATAAAATCTTTAAGAAGCCCAAAAAACAAAAAACAAAACAAAACAAAAAAAACCCAAAAAACTTTCTATGTGCCAGGAACTGGTCCCAAGAACTTTCTGGGTAAATTTTAATAATACATTCTATTTAATGTAATCTATCTGAAATATTATCATTTCAATGTGTAATCAGTATAAGAAATTATAATCTCTTTTCTATACCAAAACTGAGATTTATTTAAAACTTCTTAGCACATCTCAATTCTGACTAGTCACATTTCAAATGCTCAGCAGTCACATGCAGGTGGTGGCTACCATACTGGATAGCCGGCTGTTTGAAGGATTAGAGATACCGCATCTCCTAACGGAACGGCAGGAGATAAGGCGCTAGGCACAGTGTCGGGCAAGCAGGAAACACACAGAAATATTAGCCTCATCTTTCTGCCAACCTTCGTGCCCATGATGGTTCATAGTTCTCTGGAATCACCCTGAGCACTCCACTCTTCTTTTTCAAATCCTTTATTCCCCGCCTCCTTCTTTCTTCTCTTCCAGAATGTACATAAGGGCACTTTCGCCACACCAGCCTGCTGAAGCCACTGTCCCTCTGGCCTGCTGCTGCAGTATCCCCCCTATGTAACCTCCTGCCATCAGCTCCTACTCCCTCCAATCCTTTCTCCACTGAATGGCTGGAATGCTGTTTTGGTGATTTTTTTTAACTGTAAAAAGTACATAAAGTAAAACTACCATTTTAACCGTTTTTAAGTGTACAATTCATTGGCATGGAGTACATTCACAATGTTGTGCAACCATCACCACTATTCATTTCCAGAACTTTTCATCATCCCCATAGAAGCTCTGCAGTCATTAAATAATGACTCCCTATCCTTCCATCCTCATCCCCTGCTAACCTCTATTCTACGTTCTGTCTGTACCAATTTGCCTATTCTACGTACCTCATATAAGTGGAATCATACAAAATTTGTAAATTTGTGTTTGGCTTTTTTCACTTAGTGTAATACTTTCAAGGTTTAACCATGGATCAGAATGTATCAGAATTTAAATCCTTTTTATGGCTAGTATGCCATTGGATGGCTATATCATATTTTGTTTATCCATTGTGTCTTGATGGGCATTTGGGTTGTTTTGATTTTTTGGCTATTATGAATAATGGTGTTATGAACATGGAGTGGTGTACCAGTATCCAAAAACTTTTGAATGCATACCTCACTAAATCCTAACCACAACTCTGTGAAGTAGATACTATTATTACCTTCATTTTATAGATAGGAAGAAAAAGGCACATAGAGGTGAAGTCACTTAGCTCCTGAGTAGGAAAGCCAGGATTTAAATGCAACAACATTATCATTTTTGTGTGCGCCATGATGTGAAAAGGGTGAGGGAGCACTGCTGTATAACAGGGTGTTACAGCTGCCTCAGCAAGAGAGCGGAAGACAGAGAAAGGGTGACTGGATATTTTGGAGCTCAGAGTGACCAGGGAGCAAGGTGCAGACAAAGAAGTAGAAAATAAAGAAGTGGTGGCAGTAAGAGAGAAAGAAAAACAGGATGACAACCAGAAAGCATAGCAGTGTTCAGCAAATGGACTTTTTTTTTTCAAGATGGAGAAGACCCTAGAGTGTTTAAAAGAGATTATAGAAATAGATTTCAAGATCATTAACAAAAGGATCACAGCGTGAAAATAGGATACCTAGAAATATTAGATAGTCAGGCAGATAAATTAATTGATGGACTTATTCTGGTATAATCCAAAGAAGGAAGATGCTATACTTTGTAGCACCAAGCTTTCTGTGAAATAGCAGAAGTTGGCTATAAATATGAATAAAAGGATTGAGAACCAAGCCCTGTCTAACCAATGGCAGGGCTTTATTCATTAGGAAGAAAGCATTTATTCTGAATGACATTTTATGCTACCTTGTTCGTTTCACTGTCTTTGAATCCTTTTTCAAGTATTTGTAGCAGATGCTTTTTCTTCACTGTAACTTCAGGATCAAAAACATAAAAAAGACATTCCAGCATCTTTCGATAGCTCCTTAAGAATAATTAAGACAAAAAAAGTTTGAGAATTGATTTCAAAAGAGCTTAGCCATAGATAAGACAATCATATATCTTGCCCTGGATATTTCCCATTTACAGTGAATGTTTCAGTGTCATTACTAAGTCTCCAATCCCCCTCAGTCTCAAAAAGAGCCCCAGGGGCGCCTGGGTGGCTCAGTTGGTTGAGCGTCTGACTTTGGCTCAGGTCATGATCTCAAGGTTTGTGGGTTCGAGCCTTGCATCAGGTTCTGTGGCAACAGCGAGGAGCCTGCTTGGTTTTTTCCCTCTCTGCCCCTCACCTGCTTGCTCTCTCTCTGTCTCTTTCAAAATGGACAAATGAAAACTTAAAAAACAAAAAAGGCCCCAGTGTGGGTAAACTATGATGTCATCCTCATCAAGGGAGATGCATGAAAAGGAAATATTTACTAACAAGGCATATTTTCAATATTGTAAACTTAAAAAAAAATGTTTATTTATTTTTGAGAGAGAGAGAGCGAGAGCAAGATTGAGACCGAGCAGGGGAGGGGAAGAGAGGGCGGGGGGAGAGAGAATCCCAAGCAGGCTCCAAGCAAAGTCCGACACGGGGCTCAAACCCATGATCCGTGAAATCATGACCTGAGCTGAAGTTGGGCGCTTAACTGACTGAACCACCCAGGCACTCCAATATTGTAAGCTTTTAAAACAGAATGACTCTTTTACAAAATAAAATCAGACTTCTGTAAAAATGTTCCTTACGGAATTTAACTTCTTACTCTGAATCATGCATATCTTCACTGTCAAGAAACTTCTGGAGTTTCTCTTCAAATTTTAGTCTCAGAGTACGGTTGTTAACTTTGATGATACGTTTTACTTTCACTCCAGTAATACCATATGGCCTGAAGTCCCAGGTACAAAAACGTGAGAGAATTAGTTCATAGCAGGAGTTAAACCTATATGGGAAAACAGAATATATATAAAGAAAAGAACACATTGTCCTTAAAACGTTGAAGAACACTAAGTTACATACAATAAAACTTATAACCCATATTTTATATTTTTTGCTAAAGATACATTGTCATATCATAGCTCTGCTTTGGTCCAAACTGGGCACACTTAATCAATAAAAGAGATGTTAAACTTTGAAACATAAAAGTAAGAGTTGTTTTTATTAATGATTAGATATGTGTTTTGACTGAAAGACATGTTGCTTGAGTAATCCTTCATTACTGAAACACTTTGTTTTTTGGCTTCAGTGAAACTATATATCTCTGGCTTTCTTCTTATTGGCTGCTCCTTAATGGTTTTCTTTGCTGATTCTTTTTCCTCTGGCAGCTTTCTAAATGTTGGACTGCACCTGGAATAAGTCTTGGGTGCTCCTTTTGTTTCCATGAATACTATTCCTAGGTGATTTCATCTGGTCCCTTGGCAATATATAGAAAAAATATATTTTATATATACGGATATATTCCAACATTTTACTTTCAGACTTTATCTCTACCCAATTTAGGTGGATATACCCCTACTTGAACATCCAACTGCTTAGTTGGTATGTTCACTTGCATATGGAATAGGCCTCTAAAACTTAATTCATCACCTGCTTCTAAGCCTACTCCTTCTGACTGTTTTCCATCTCAGTATATGGTACCAGCATCTAACTGGTAGCTTAAGTTAACATCCCAGGAATGAAACTTGCCTCCTCTCTGTCTCACTAATATCCAATTCTTTGGTCAAATCTCTTTGGCCCTACATCTAAAATATCCTGATTATAACCCTATGTCATCACCATCACTGTTATTACTTTTTTCCAAATCATCATCATCTCTCATTTGGACTACTGCCAATAACTTCATAACTAGAGATATAGAAGTGAAAGAGGCAGGGTCCCTCCTCTCATGGAGCCTATATTATAAGGAGTTGGCCAAAAAATAAACAGTACATAAATAAAATCATTTCTAAACTGACAAGTGCTTTGAAGAAAGAGAAGTTTGGGGTAAGACTGGAGTGGGGGCTACTGAGTATAGATCTGGGTAAGATATTTCAGAGAAGATATTTGAGTGAAGAAAAGGAGAAGAAGGGGCCAACTATGTGAAGATCTCAAGAAGATGTATTGGAAGTGCTCATCTGCTCTCTACTGCCCTTACTGGGCCATGCCCTATCTTAAAGTAGCACAGAATTTGGACTAAGATGAGATTTTAAAACGAATCAATTTGGGGGCACCTGGGTGGCTCAGTAGGTTAAACATCTGACTCCAGCTCAGGTCATGATCTCACGGTTCATGGGTTCGAACCCCTGCGTTGGGCTCAGTGCTGACAGCTCAGAGCCTGGAGCCTGTTTTGGATTCTGAGTCTCCCTCTCTGCCCCTCCCCTGCTCGTGCTCTCTTTCTTTCCCTATTAAGAATAAATAAACATTAAAATAATAATAATAATAAAATAAAATGGATCAATTTGAAAAGAAAGCTAAGTGATCCTATATGGGGCACATTTACCTGTAATGAGATGTCTGGTCCTCACTGGCATACAATATCAACAAAGGCCTGAGCATGAGTGTGGGCTAAGATCACAGAGGTGAGCTTCCTGGTGGGTGGTCTTTCCCTGGGACAAACTCATTTAGAGTGTCTGCCTTTCTCACTAGCGAAGACTGAACCAGTGCAGCTAAGAGCTGCCCAATTACTCTTCCCTTGGAGTTGAAAAGTGAGCTGCCCAAACCAAACCATTCCCGGAGGGGCTCACAATCTGTTAGGAGACAGATACATATAAGTAGTGTGGCAACCAGCTGATGCTGCTAATTAGTTCGGAGGTCTGGATAAATAATTACATCATCACCAGGAGTGGGAAACCTCCAGGCTCATGTATAGAGGGATCACTGTCTGGGCCTGATCAGTCCAAGTCACTCCTACATAATACATCCTGGAACCACTGAAGCTCCAATTACTACTTGCACTCTATTTTTATTATTATTATGCTCTGATAGAAAGTGTTGTAGGCATTTTATTTAGATAAAGTTTTGTCATATAGTAACAAGGGTAAACAAGAATAGATAGAAGCGATAAATGGACAATACCTAGCTTCTAGTTCAGTTCCCAGGAATGCAAGAACTAAGAATGGCACAGGAAACTCCATGAAGAGGAATCCTTTCATAGAGCTTTTCTCTGCCTGGAAATTCAGTAGCTGAGCCCTTCTTCACATAGAATTCCTACAGCCCTGGAGACTGGGAACCCCCGTGCTAATGGGACATGGGCTCTGTGCTATCTGGAATCAGAGAACTAAAGCCATTCAATAAATCACCTGGTCAAGCTGGAGATGAGAAGATATCATTCACAGAATGCCAGAATACTGCTAGAGGAGGGAGAACCAAACCTATAACTGACTAGGAAGTACTGTGACACTCCGTATTATCAGTTCCTTGTAGAAGAGGACACTTCTCATAGCATTGTTGGTAACGTGCTACATGCACTGGGCAGCATCTCATTACTGACCTGAGATATATGCTTTCTAGTCTGAACCTCAAATAATAACTGTAGTAACTTATATAAAATAATATCTAAATCTCTTATACCTCTCTTTCAAGGGGTCCCAAAGACTTAAGGGCGAAATTCAAACTACCGGCTCGCAGTGAGCTTTAATGATCAGGCCTTTGTCATGTGGAAATACTGTAGTTCTCCAAACGTATTATAATAGTTCCATACCTTTTCACCACATGCTGTTTCCTCTGCTTAGGAAGTCCGT